TATATGTTTGTTGATGACCAATATCTGACAGCTGATCTATCCTTTGAGCTACAGTTTGCAATGGCTTAATTGTCGGAATCTCATATTTTTTATTTCGTGCATGCACGTTGTTTATTTCTGATTTTGTCGGCTGCACGCTATAGTAGGATCAGTTGGGCACCGTCTGTGAGAAAAAGCACTGTGAAACAATTAACTCCGTCAGACATCTGGAAATGGCATGTTGTACTGCTTGACATTCGCGCCGCAAGTTCCATTACGCACATTTCAGAGTGTTTTGGGTGTCTGAGAACATTACACAGCATTCAGAAAGAGTTGGATGAGTCTAATGGTGATTACAAAGGGATTTAGAGTGATTATGGCAAGGATTATGGCAGCATTCACCAACAAGGAGATCGTCCAGAAGAGTTGCAGGAGATTCCGAAGTCGTCTGGAGAACGTAGTTGAAGCCAATGGCGATTTTATTGAATGAATTTACTCCATTTTAAAATATTTTTGTGGAATTTGGGTAAATGTATCTGTTAAAATGAGATGCCAACATTATTTTCATGTTTGTGTCATTTGGACGACAATTTATCCGTCTCACACTGTATATCTTAAAATGAGGTGTTGACACCTCATTTTCACAGATATACAGGGTCCGATGGATAAATTGTCGTCAGAATGACACAAAAATGAAAATAAAACTAACCCCATTTTAAGTTATTTTGGCGGCATTCAAATGACAATTTATCCATCGCACCCTGCGTATCTGTTAAAATGAGATATCAGTGTTATTTTAATGTTTGTGTCATTCAGACGACAGTTTATCCATCGCACCCCGTATACCTGTTAAAATGAAATGTCATTTTCATGTTTGTGTCATTCAGACGACAATTCATCCATCGGCACTCTGTAATTCTCACAGCTCAATTGGGAAAGGAGTGGATGGTATCATTCAATACATCCAAATTCAACTCGTAACATTTCCTCACCACTGAGCATCTCCAAAGACGTTCACCAATCCCGCTGAGTGGGCATACTCTCAAAGAGGCTCCTTGCTTTGACCGACTACTGGGTCTAAAGCCTAAAAAGGAAAGAGTATATTGGTGCCATCGCAAAAGATTCTAGAAGAACGGACGGTTCCTTGAATAACTCTAGAAAATGTCTAACTCCCGCTGACGTGCTCTATGTTTAAAAGAATCAGATCAGACCGAGAATTGAGTACTGCTGCTGGTGCTGCCCAATTAACAGTCTGTTCACCTTCGACAGAGTTCAAATGTACCATTACGACCTTGTGGGTGATGAATTATTCTCCATCCTACAGCTCTTTTCCCACAGAAGAAACGTTGCCAACTTTAGCTAGTATATCGCTATTAACAATGTCAAATGTTAATGACGAGTTACATTCATTAGCTTTACCCGTTCAGACATTCACAGCTAGAACCACCCCACGTCATGTCACGGTCACGGCGGCAAACCCACCTCATTCCCTTTGTGTTCCTTTCCACTCAGCTTCTTTCCCAAGATCTGTCACTTTGTGGAACTCTCGACAGAATGCTTTCCTGACATCTTCAATCTTGGTCTCTTTAAGTTCAGAATCAATCGATATATATCCTACTCATCCTCATAATACTCTCTTGCTTCCTACTCCCTCTTCTCTTACAATCTCCCTCGGTAACTCTTTACCTTAAGTGACCCTTAGGTCTTGTATTAGGGGAACTATCAGTAAAAAAAATAAAATAAAATCTATTGTACATATATAGTTACGTGTTTAAGACAACTTGAATAAAGGCTCGCATTACAGGGACGGTATTTTAATAGGGCCAAGTTCTTATGTCTCAGTTAACCGGAGTTTATTTTAAATGATTTGTTTCAATAGAAGAAATAATGGCGAAAGCAGAAAAGATATTTCCAAAGAAGTTTTCGGTTGATATTTTTAAATAACTTCGACGCTTCTAAATTTGTCTGGGTAATCTGTTGTCAAAAAGGCAAGATCAAAGGTCAGTCTCTGTTTTGTTTTTGTTTTCTTCATATTTTTCCCGCGCTTTGACGACATGTCTATTCTAGATTAATCAGTGCCGACAATTTAGCGAAAGGTTAGTTGGTTAATTTTGTTTAGCGGCATATCAACACCTCCATGGGTTATTTAATACCGAAATATAAATATTTTTAATACAACTAAATATATTTTGAACGCAAGTGTATGCTTCAACTACAAATAAAATATATCGTTGGTCATTTTACTATAAAATGTATTATTAGTCATTTTATTATAAATAGGTATTGTTGGTTGGTTTGTTAGTTTTTTAAGACAGTATATCAACCTCTATAGATTATTTAATACCCAGATCTAAATAACCTGAACACAATTTTATGGTTTCAACTAAATATTATAATTTTACTATTAATAGGTATTGTTGCTTCTTTTTTATATAAAATCTATTGCTGGTATTTTGACCATAAAAATTCAATTTTAACACTTCCATGGAATTTTGATTGGGGTTTACTATTTGCCCATAGCTGAAACCCTAACAGGTGCTACCACCCCGGGTCAGGGTGGATCTGGGAAAAGCAACAATTGAGAGGTGCTTCCACGCTACTCAAAACCTGCAATCTCCTGATAAGAAGCCTTGCTGCCGGATGTAGTTTATCAACATACCCAGGGCTATTTTGTGTGTGTGTGTGTGTGAGAGAGAGAGAGAGAGAGAGAGAGAGAGAGAGAGAGAGAGAGAGGGATGCAGGTTATGCGGACTTCCCACAAATACGCATAAAAGTCAGACTGCTGCTCTCACCGTTAAACCTAATGTGCTATATGTAATTAACACTATATTGAGCATATGACCAAAACAAATAAATGATATACATATTTAGACCCAATATTAAGACACAATGATTATGGATATATTGAGACAAGTATTTAGATACAATACTATGACACAATAATTATGGATATTATGAGACAAATATTTAGATACAATATTGAGACACAATAATTATGGATATACTGAGACACAATATTGCGTCACAATAATTATGGATATACTGAGACACAATATTGCGTCACAAAATTAAGACGCAGTAATCATAGATATACTGAGACAAATACTGAGACATAATATTGAGACACAATAATTATGGATATATTTAGACACAATATTGAGACAGTAATTATCGATATATTGAGACAAATATTTAAATACAATATTGAAACAGAATAATTAATGATATATTGCGACACAGTATTGCGTCACAATAATGTATATATTGAGACAAATTTTGAGACTAAATCTTGAGAATAATTATGGATATTTTGAGACAATATTCAGACAATAATTATCGATATATTAAGACAAATATTGAGAAAGAATATTGAGACACAATAATCATGGATATATTGAGACACAATATTTAAACACAATAATTAAAAAGTTTTGTTTAGCTTTCAATATTTGAGCTTTCAATATTTATCTGTTGTGGGCATTCCACCTTGACCTTACCGACGTATCAGGTTGAAACAACGATTCTTGTATGGTCACCGAAGTTAAGCAACGTCGTGCCTGGTCATTACATAGATGGGCGACCCCTTAGGTCTACTATATACTGTAAGCTTTGGTGTGCGATTGGTGTAATATTATAACGGCTTAAAATCGGAAATTCGAGAGTCAAGTTTCAGTTCCAGTCGGGTTTGTTATAGTCACTTAGCGCAAATGTATGGGAAAGGGAATAACCCACCTCTTCTTCTTCCTTACTGTGGATTAATTATTAGGAATTGTACCAGTAAATCATTATTATCATTATTATATTTTCTGACTTTAAATAACCAATCAAAGATTGATAAACCGAAAATATAAGTCAATCAACCAAAAGTCATTCCACCTTATCGACTCGATTTCCATTATTTAACAAATATTAAAACTGATCCACAAAAGAGAGCTCGATGTATTTTTGGTAGACGATGAGAATGGTCGTCTGTCTTTTTAAAACATATATAAGGTAACAAAAACGTAACGGAATAACGGAAAGGGAATTGGGGAAAATTCTTAATAGAGGCAAGTTTATTAATTATAATTAATATAACATAAAAAGGTTTTAGACGAGGTGGGATTGGGAGAGTGATTAAGGTAAGTAAATAAGGCAAAAGTACACTATGGGAATACACTATGGTATGGCTTTTATCTATCACGTATATAATGCGTTAAAATTTCCCTTTTTTGGTGTGCACCGATAGCCTAGGGGTAAGGGCCTCGGATTAATGCTAAACCGGTCGAGTTTCGATCCCGGGTTGATGAAATCGGATATCTAGCCACATTGATGAGCTGTGATACAGCGAAATAGTCTGTGACTGACTCTCTCTCTCTCTCTCTCTATATATATATATATATATAGTAAAGGTAAAATGAGATGTCAGTGTTATTTTCATTTTGGCGTCATTCAGACGACAATTTATCCATCGGCACCCTGTAATTCTCACAGTTCAATTGGGAAAGAAGTGGATGGTATCATTCAATACATCCAAAATTCAACTCGTAACATTTCCAAATGGGTCCTAAAAATATAAAAAATATTAAAACTGATCCATAAAAGAGATCTCGATGCACTTAATTTATACAGAACAATATTATGAACAATCCAAAAAAAAGTCTTTTTAACTCATGTGGGTAACGAGACTATTTCGGTAGGCAATGAGAGTGGTTGTCTGTTTTTTTTTCAAACCCGATGTGGAATGAAGTTCCCGTTTGTAGAGCAAGAGAAAGCTGGAAGTGGGAGTTAACTGTAAGGAAGTGATCATAGAAGCTAAAGGGTCAACCTAAAATTTAACTTGTCGAAAATACCTAATACAGAGTTCACACTTTTCAATGTTTAAGTCAGACGATAGCCACCAGACAGTGGTCAGGGAGGTCGGTAACTATCTATCTCAAAGGGGAGAAGGTGTATTAAATAATGTCAGAGAATATTAACCCAATGAAGACAAATTGTGGGTATTAGAAATAGGAAAGTAAATTCAAAAATAATAAATTCGTTACTGCTAAAGGTTACAAAAAAAACTTATTTTATATGCCGTGTCTTTTCAGGACGTTGAGGGTCGTGGCTCTTTACATCTTCCTATTATTTGGAGCTCTTGACAATGTTTTGTTTATTATCCTTCCCGCTTCCCTCTGTTCGTCTTACCTTCAATATTTCCTGTAAGTGTCAGATTCTCCAAACCTTCTTTCCTCATTATTTGTCCCAAAGGCTTCGACTGCCTCTTTTTGATTCTAAGTATAAGTGTCCTTTTTGTTTCCACTTTCCTTAACCCTTTGAGCCCTACGTTCCTGAACAACATTTCTGTCTGATCTCCTAAGTCAAAATTCATGAATAATTGGTATGCAATGTTTGACGAAAAAATAGTTCCAAAATATATAAGCATTATACTTAGCAGGGAGAGAGTATCATTGCATGCCTTTACTTTATCACCAGAATTCTTTCTTTAATATCTGTCTATATTTCTGAGATGAGGTATTATGTACACTATTTACATTATTCGGACTATTGTCCTCATCTTTGTCGCCATATTTATTACAACGTTTTCGGCCGTTGTACGCTCCGGTCTTCTTTAGGTGGTTGGAATGTCGAACTGAACCCTTTAATTCTAGTTCCACGTACCATGTCTAATGGGTGTCAGTTATCAGTTATCATCTGTTAATAGCCCTCTCCAAGTTTTCCACTGCCTTAGCCGGGTATGGAACTCACACTCTTTGGGTCCCGTCACTGGATCTAACTAACGCCCTTATCCACTGTGCCATATGTATTTGAGGACATCTGTGTATGAATTTCTGGGTATTATAAACCTAATTTCTACAGCTTCATTTTTTACCAATGCTCATATTGCAATTTTTGCTGTTATTATTGCATATTTTTACCAGAGCTCATATTACAATTTTTGTTGTTGTTATTGCTTTTCTCTGGCACTCCATATTATTGCTTCCAATATTGTATTCATTTTTATGCTTGATCGGCTCAGGAGATTTTTGTGGCTTAAGCTTACGAATTTTCCAATGGTGTTTTTTGTCTATGATCTGTGACTGACCCTCTCTCTGTGGGATCAGGTTCAGATTGGTTCAGTTCGACATTCCAACCACCTGAAGAAGGTGGGAGCGTACAACAGCTGAAACGTTGTAATAAATATGACGACAAAGATGAGGACAATAGTCCGATAAATGTAAAGAGTGTAATTCTTTCTTTGTATCCCGGCCTAACCAAATAAGATAACCAATAGCAAAACAAGACGCGAGTGTTTATCCACCTTTCAACCGGTGGCGAGGCATTACGTTACTTTTCTACAAACGGTTGTCAGGGCCGAAGGGGTTAAGACTTCGTTTTTGCTCACATGTTCTGTCTATTGTATTCTCAGCATTCTTCTACAGTAACTTATCTCTGTTGCGAACAGAGATAAAATGGTGACCATGCTCCGTGTCATTTCCCCATACACTTCCATTAACGTGGATTCGAGATTTGCATTTCTCTGCCAAGACTGTTTTCCATTTTCAAGTTTTCTCACGATAACAAAAATAAAAATTACAAGATGTGACTCTGTTGCTTCTTTGATAAAATAACCTCCATATGACTAAATTATGTAATTTTAAATTGGTATGTTTTTGTTTTGTTTTTTTAGAAAGGCAGTAAGCTAAAATAAATGCGACTTTGAAAGATGTCAGCACTGTCCTGGAAGTGAGAAATGCGATTGTGTAGCTGAATATATGCTGATTTATCGCGAGACTTTATTTTGGAACTAGCGTTTGTCATTCTTGCACATTGACAAGAGTAAATCGACATTGGAGGGACATGATTTGATTTTTGTTTGTAAGTGAAAGGAAAAGAGATAAAAAAAATTTCCTCTGAAATCTGCCAGTTCTTAGTCAAAAGAATAGGAACCATGTTCAAAGAATGTCTCAAGAAAGAAAGAAAACGAAGGAGAGAAGCACAGAAAGAAAAGAGACAGGAAAAAAAATGGACGCAAATCAAAAGAATAAAAAATGTAGTGAGAAAAAGAACGTGAATATGTAGCTGAAAGAAAGAAAGAAAGAAAGAAAGAAAGTTCAAAGAAAGAAGGAAGAAAGAAAGAAAGGAAGAAAGAAAGAAAGAAAGAAAGAAAGAAAGAAAGAAAGAAAGAATATAGTAGTTCAAAGAAAGAAAGAAAAAAGAAAGAATACAGAAATTCAAAGGAAGAAAAATGGCGAAGTTTAAAGAAAGATAGAAAAATGGAAAGGAAGAAAGAAAGAATCGATAAACAGCTGAAAGATTATATTGGAAGAGAAAAATGAATGAAAAATAGAGAGAATGATAGAACGGCAAGAGAAAGAAGACTAAAAAAAAATTGAAGAAAGAAAGGAGTTTTTCAGAGACATAAAAAAAGGGAAGAAAGAAAAAAAATAAAGAAAGAATGAAGTAGTTTAATGAAAGGAAAACTGATGAAAGAGGATTTGAGAAGAGAGAGAAGAACAGAAAAGAGAGAAAAGCAAAAAGAAATAATAAAAAAAACAT